ACAGATGGCCTTCGTGTAGCTTTGCGCTAAATTCCAGACAAACAATCCAATTTATTTCTATGCATAGATAGCTATTTAGTTTCATATATTACTGAATATTTCAGTTTTAAATTAATGTAAATACGAAACAGTTTACAATGTATGAATTTGGGGATCTAAAATGAATCTTAAATTGTCATCTACATGATGATTTAAATATTATAAGAATAATTATAATAATTTGACTAATTTGTCAACTCTTATATTGTTTTTCAAAATTGTGTAGATGAGATTTTTAACAAATGACTTTATTTTAACAACGAATCCTGAGTCAACGAGATCACGTATTATACCTCACTTCCAGGAGGCACACACTCAATATTTCCTCAACTCTCTTGCAAGTTTTACAGAATATACACTTCGTATAAGAAATTCAACAATTTCGTCAAACTAAAAGATGAAAAAAGTGGAATTTTTGTTTGTTTGTTTGTTTGATGTAAAGGCAAAGAACTCTCTTGCAAGTTTTACAGAATGTACACTGTCGTATAAGGAATCCAACAATTTCGTCAAACTAAAAGCTGAAAAAAGTGGAGATTTTGTTTGTTTGATGTAAAGACAAAGAACTCTCTTGCAAGTTTTACAGAATATACACTGTCGTATAAGGAATCCAACAATTTCGTCAAACTAAAAGCTGAAAAAAGTGGAGATTTTGTTTGTTTGTTTGATGTAAAGACAAAGAACTCTCTTGCAAGTTTTACAGAATATACACTGTCGTATAAGGAATCCAACAATTTCGTCAAACTAAAAGCTGAAAAAAGTGGAGATTTTGTTTGTTTGTTTGATGTAAAGACAAAGAACTGTAGAAGGTACAACGATTTACTTTGATGGTAGATGGAGAATTGTTGTTTTTTTTTACTAAACTTCATCTGAGGTCATGGCGTTATTGATTATACAATATCTATAAAGGTTCTCGCGAGGCCAGAAATAATCGGGAACTGTAAAGATAAACCGCAGCTATTATTTTTTTCTCAAGATTGCACATATTTTGGAGGATAGATGACAGATTTAAAGCTTGCTTACAAATGTAAGGTAGCAGTAGCGAAATGCTCATCGTGCTACCAGTGCAGTTAGATGTGGATGTGATCACAACAGGATATCAGTTGCAAAGAAAGCAAGTCGTAAAAAAGGTCAACCGGCTGAAGAGAAGCATGTCCACGTACAGACCGGGTATGTTCCCCGAATCGTCGGAATGTGGATGTCTTGACCATAGCGGTGAGTTTGTTTTTTTGCTCGAGGGCTATCTGCGCTAACCGTCCCTAATTTAGCAGTGATAGACTAGAGGGAAGGCAGCTGGTCATCACCACCGCCAACTCTTGGGCTACTCTTTTACCAACGAATATTGGGACTGATCGTCACATTATAACGCCTTCACGACTAAAAGGGAGAGCACGTTCGGCGACGGGTTTTGATCCCACGACTCACTTTGAGCTTTGCAATTCACTTTAAAAGACATTCCCCATAGTTCATAATGTTTAAAGCACAGATCCAAGTTCACTGGCTTATTGCCAATAGCAGCAGCCCTCCAATCGTGCTTACTTCGAGTAAATAGGAATATATTTTTTATAATTATAAATCTTGACGAACCCAATATCAAACCTCTAACTTACACACTAAAAATGTATTTTCAATATTCACCATTTTCAGGATTTTTCAAAGATATTTATAACCTTAGTCGAATGATAACATATCTTGTTAAATAAAAGACGTTGACACCATGAGACGAGCACGTGTTCTAAAGTGGTATTTTACTGTATAAGATAATGGTTTTATTTTTAGATTCATCAAAGGATATAGTTTTATTAATCTTTCAAGAGAAATGCTGGACAAAATAGTAATTTTATGTGAAATTTGCGTTTTAGGTTTTACAAAAATTTATAAGTAAACATAAGATAAAACAATTACATATGCTGTAAAGATTCTGTGACTTTTGTAGTAATGACGTATTTCTCCAGAAACAACAACAATAACAATACGTGAGTACGGTTTCTAATTCAGCCGAATCGAACTACATTTTACAGTTTATTTATATCAGACTTCCAAATTATTTATTTTTCGTTATTTGATTTGTAATTTTAAGTATTTAATTTCCACGAATCTCTGGAGTGTTTTAATGTGTAAATAACCTACTTTTTCCCATAATGAAATCTAAGACTAATGGTTCATCTGAAGTTTTAGGTGAATTGTATAAATTCTTTTACTTTTTATGGCCAATGTTATAACAATCAAGAATCTCCTTCAAGCTGTTTTAAATACTACACTTTAAGGAAAATATTATCATTTAACTTCCCCATCACAGAATCTATTCAATGGTAAGAAAATAAATTAAGCCTTTTTTTAAATATTTGGCAGATGTTTCTTTTTTCCGAGTTACACTAACCAGTCAATATTTTTGTAAGACCGAAAATAAATTTGCCTGCGTACAAAACAAAACACAACTATCATAATGCTTCTGAAACAACGCTTTATTTACACACGTTTTCAAACACAACAACTTGTTTTTATTTAATACTAATAATGCATATCTATCTTTTTACATAAAAGCACTCAGATAAAACTTTTGTGAATAAACTCGAGAAACGATTAAAAACACGTTTAACATGTCATTAACATCTTACTCCGGCATATTTCGTGAAAGCCACTTGACGTACATCCAGTGTATCAATATATAGAAACATGCATTTAAAAACTCACAAAGGTTAATCTCGATACCCCTCGGGGAAGTGGAGGAAGCCTGCTTTGTTTAAAGAACCAAATTCACAGCCGCGAGGCTCGAGAGATAATCCTTTGACCTACCTTGGTCCGGCAAAAATCTCATAGGTACCTGCTAAATGAGACTCAGTCCTTAAGTAGCTAAATACTTGGCAAAAGAGCGTTTGCCATCTATCATAATTTCCATTTATAATGCTATACATTGTACTTACAATCAAAAAAGTAAAATTACTACAGTTAAACACGCCATAGACAAAACGACATCATAGCTCAAACATATACCTAATTTCAAATGCCGTTTTTAAAGTGAAGTCTTGCCGGGCACTTCGTCATGATGTCACATAATTTTATATCTTATCGAGCGCTTTCGTTATAGCGAAACACAATGTTTTATTTTATAAGAAATGCCTGTAATATCTCACAATTTTCACTCTGTGCAAACAAACAGTTTTAAAAAAAATCACGCCGTGTTTTACAAGAAAACAGTTATAATAACTCTGCTAAGGCACATTGCTATGTCATTCTTTATGTCTGGTTCGAATTATTTATTCAGATATTTTAAGAAGCTTTCAAGTTTACGTCCAATTCATCGAGGCACTTGTAGGTGAATGCCGCGCGGTTCCTAGCGCCCTCACGTGGTGCAGTGGAGTGTACAAACCAAGCCAACATCTTCCTGCAAAACCTCATGAACTTTGAGCGTATAGATTGTTTCGTCTGACATTCGGTTTACTGGTTTTGTTTGTTTTAGAGCAAAGCCACATTGGGCTATTTGCTTTGTACACTGTGGGGGAATCGAACCCCGTATTTTAGCGTTGTAAGTTCATAGACTTATTGATGTCCCACCGGGGGAAAGTTTTACTGGCGTTTCATTCCAAAGCATTTATGCATGTATTTATTTTTCATATTTATCCAATTTGTCTCCACTGAGATGTCAGAGTTCAACAGAGAAGCTCCAATACAAAGATCATGAGGTTCTGACATCAAGCAGTGCGATCACACGTGTACATCCACCTGTGCCTACAACAGAACACAGTACAGGATAAGTCCTAGAACATTTAGGGGATTTTGTAATCACAAGAATTCTCTAAAACATAAACCTACTATTTCTGACCTATACTTAGCTATTTTACATCTCACACAGGATAGATCAGAAAGCGACACGAATAGTCAATACGTTTGTGTGAAACTTGTTCGATTTTTGATAATGTAAAATCATACCCATTGTCACACAGCGCCATCTGTAAGTACACACTAAAACAAAACAAAGTGTAATAATCTCAATTAAAGATCAAAGTCTGATTTTTGAAAATAAGTTCAAATGATCCAGAAACTGACTATTTAATGACGCTCTGTGACAAGTTCCGATTTCAAAAGACAAGTTTATGTACAAGAACTTAGTAAGTACTTGATGTGCTTACTAATGTCATATTTGAAGAAGTAATGCATCAGATAGGCACAGACAGTATTAATATTGTTTTACACGAACATAAGTAATAAAATGATCCATAACTTATTATCTAATAATATGCAAGAAAACAAAAACAAACAAACAAAAACACTTTGGAAAGCAAATTCAAAATACAAAATGTGATATAATTTTTATAGCTTCTTATTATAACATATTTGGTCATAAATGTTACATTATTTATTGAATAATATATTACCATTTGACATAAATTTCACTATTTAACAATTTAAACAAGAAATATTTTTTTTCATAAACATTTATTAGAAATGCTTATTAAGCTACTTAATAATTCTCATAACTGATAATTCTTAAGGTGAGATAAAATTATGAAACATAACGACAGAAACTTGTAATATTTTGCATGCTATTTATAACCATTAATTTTCTTCCCCGATGTTGTTAGTCTGCAAAAATTCTCAAACTTACCACATGTGTTTTTAAAGAGTTTTCTCATTTTTTTGTCCATTACTAATTATTTTTCATACTGCCATCTTCAGGGATCATTACATACTAAATATTGAGCAAGAGAATCATTTTAGGTCATGAAATGTTATCATGCAAAAGTTCGTTTGCTATCCTCTCGTTCTTTGTTGAAAACTGTAATTATATTTTGTAGGTAAATTCATGACTATTAACTATATAACGAAGAAAGGTTGATATATATTTTATTTAAATTTGTAAAGCTGACGATTTTTAACACCATTCAGCTTCTTTTATTACGTCCATCTCCCCGAAAAAAAGTTACATGTTATAAACTATGTTTAACTTGTTTCGCTTATATGACAGTATTTCCAAAGAGTTTGTTCAACTGAAATTATTGATAAATAATGGTTAGTGTCTTTGTATTTCACAGAACAAAGATGTAAACAGCATGAACCTTATTCACGTATATATGGATCTAAAGATTTCATAGCATTTTGTATATCTTCACTGTCATCTTCAATTTGTGGTTCATTCGTATCATTTTCATCGATATCAGCTCCAAAAACTGTCTCGTCCTTCACACCGGTCGTGTCCCATACCCGAATGGTTCCATCATATGAGCCTGTAAACATCTTACCCTTTATGACCTGTAAATACCAATGGTATTATTACCACATGGTTATTCTAAAGCACAGAAAGTTTGTCTTCGATTATCTATAAACCAGTCGTAATTAGTATCACATCTTGAAACTCCCGAATGTTTTTCACTTACTTTCAAAGGTTTCAACATAATTATCATCTTCATCAAGATCAATAAAAGATATTACATGCTTTACAGTTTGTCGTCATTATAACTAGAAAACAACAACAAAAAAGCTGGCTTAGTACTCATACATTACTCTGTGTTTATTAAGGGAAGATCCCTAATCGTATCCTGATCCTTTGTTTGTTTGTAGTTAAACACAAAGGGCTATCTGTGCTCTGCCCACTACAGGTATCGAATCCCGTTATAGTACACTGTCCAACAAACATCTTGTCTGTTATTTCCTTGACCAGTGGTTCTCAAACTTTAGTAACCCGAGGACCCCTTTTAAATTTTTTCGCAGAAAAAAGATTCCATGTACATAAAAATCTGAATTTCAAAATTAAATGTTTTAATTAATATCAATGTAATTTCACGGAAAATAATTTTTAATTCCGTAAATCATATTTTTATGATATTTCGTACACGACTTTCAGATCTCAGTTGGAGAAACTCTGTTTCGGAGGATTCACTATGATTTTACATCTTTCAGATATAGCATGATAATGAACCCCCAGTAGCCTTTAACAAAACGAAAGGAGTCTAAATGTTATTTCCAGAACATTAGACGAGGTAAAACAATGTACTAAAATGATAGAAAATAATTATGGTAATGTATGATTATTTTTCATGTACTTTCTGGGATTTTAAGTATTTTAATCAGGGCATTAACAACTCGATTTTAAGATGAAAAAGCATCATTGATAAGAATGGAGACTATTTCATTTAATAAATGTTTTGTGTTGATGTATAAATTGTTCAGGTTTTTGCATCTAAAGAAAAAGCGACATTAATTTCTTGACAACCTAATATATTATAACTAGCGTTTCGCCTCAAAAATGACGGAGCAATTACTACCACCCCCACCCAGTGGCGTACAGAGGTTCTATGATGCCCGGGGCCTTGTACCTAAGACCTTGGGGAAGGGCGGAAAGGGTTCTACTATTCGATTCGACTCTTTGCGTTGGATGCCCTCCCGATATGGATGCCCGGGGCTCCAGCACCTTTCGCCCCCCTCTGCACGCTACTGCCCCCACCCCATACTATACCCTAACCTCACATTTCGTAGCTAATTGAAATAAATAAATTTTGCGAAATCGAGCTTGACCAACAAAAGGGCAGAAAAGTGCAGTCGAGGCAGTCAAATGTCGGTAACTTCCTTTGTGAGCCAATCAAAATTAGATCATTCATGAAATAAATTCATGACGTATTCATAGAATAATTATTGGTAAAAATCAGTTAGATGAACAACTTCTAATATGTAGAAAAGCCAGTGCGTTTTGGTAACACTCCGTTTCAACAATAGCTTTATGTCATGTTGCTAAGCGCTTAGTATTGTTGTTAGTTTGTGTACTAAAAGTATAAAATGATATATATATATAGAACGAAAAAAAAAAACAAAAAAAACTGGAAACATATTTGTTGTATTTTTTAATTTAGAGTCTCCGTTGATTAAAGAGTTTGTTTTTTATTAAAAAAGTCGGTGATATAACAGAAAGTAGCTTAATTAAGAAAATATTTAAATCTAAAATTGAATCGATATTTTTACTCTCAGGATAAATTTTATCCTCTTGGCTTTTATATAAGTTAGATATTGTTCGTGATGTAATAAGTAAAACAAATTTATTTCCTAATTTTCATAAATAAATGTAAAATTGATATTACAAATATATATATATATATATATATATTAATAAGGTAATCAGAACTGAATGAGAGTTGTTCTTCTCATCGTTTAAATAAAGTTAAATAAAAATAAATATATAGTTAACCGCATAGGAGACAAAGATACCAAGTCAGCGGCCTGTTTGTGCAATGTGTAAACTATTTTATTTCGCCGTCGGTGCGAGAGGTGAACGCCGTAGGAGGAGAAGGGGCCCGGCATGGCCAGGTGGTAAGGGCGCTCGACTCACAATCTGCGGGTCGCGGGTTCAATCCCCCCTCACACGAAACATGTTCGCCCTTTCAGCCGTGGGGACGTTATAATGTGACGGTCAATCCCACT